TAGAGCGAGAGGTGGGGGCTGTAGTGCATCTCGATCTACTTTTTATGCCGCTTGGGGATCAAGGCTATAATTTTATCTTCGATGCGCGCGATAACCTGTCTGGTTTCGTAGACGGGTGTGCTATTCGCACCAAGACCGGGTTAGTCTTAGTGAGCTGCATCGAGGAATATTACCTGCATTATCCTTTCGTCAGGGAATTCGTAATGGACGGGGGATCAGAGTTTACCTGCCAGGAGGTGCAAGAACTGTTATCAAGGTATGGTGTGGCAGCCAATTACACCATGGCCGCGCACCCCCAGGCAAATGCTCCCGTGGAGAGAGGATATAGTACCATTACGAGTCCCCTGGCTAAGTGGACCGAAGATAGGCCTAATCAATGGCCAAGGTACCTAAGGGCGGCGTTTTTTGTCGAGAACATTACAGTAAAAAGATTCACCAAGTACGCATCTGCGACGCTGTGGTACGGAAGGCACGCCACCTTCCCTATCGAAAGCTATCTTAAGACATTGAGGTACCAGGATCTGGAAGTTAACCTCTCATTTGAAGAGTTGCTCGATATCCGGGCGCGGCAGATAGGGGCGATAAAAGAAAGGATTTAGGAGGCGTCTGACTAGGTGGCGAGAAGCCGTATGGATGATAAGGCTCGATGGGATGAGTCTGCGCGGGTAAGGAAAGTACCCTTGGCAGTTGGGGATGTCGTGCTTCTCTACGATTCATCGCTGGAAAAACAGTGGTCCAGGAAACTCGATAAGAGGTGGTTAAGTCCCTACCGGATCGTACGGGTCGGAGACTTCGGAGCGTACCAGATTGAGGAGTTAAATGAGACTGAGTGGAAAGATTGGGTATCTGGAACGAGATTGAAGAAATTTGTGGCGACATAAGAGGTAAGAGAGATGGCCTGACTGCCTTTAGAATAGAAGTAATAGGGTGTGTATGTTAGGTAGGATGCATGCTGCATGAGTGTGGTCTAGTCTAAGCTTGCTTTGATTATCACCTGCTTACTTACCCCAATGTGTGTCTGTTGTCTCCTTCGCCTATTGTGCAAGTCTGACTTTACGAAGACAGCCATGCCAGGAGGAGGGAAAGGGACACGGCCGCCTCAGAGGCCGTTGGGAGCATCAGGAGGATATGAGCGGCATGAGCCTCGCCATCGAGAGAGTACTTCGGTCTACGATGATGGGGACATCGAGCTATTCCTGGACAACTTTTGGGATCATGCGAGGCGTATGGGCTGGACCGTGGCCGAGACAATTGAGAGGCTGAGGGGAGCAGGCAGGTTCGAGGAGCCCATTACCAGGATTCGTAAGGAGGCGACGACGAGACAGGAGGTGGAGGCGAGGATGGAGGAGTTGCGACCCTCGCCTGTGGGACCAGATGGCAGGCCGATCCGTCTGGAAATCGGAAATGCGGCAAATTTTATTCCTGCCTTCGAGTGGTTCATGCGGGGGAAAGGTATACCGAGAGATGAGTGGGTGAGGACGTTACCCCTTTAGACCCGAAAGGCGGAGAGGGCACTGGCTAAGCAGGTCAGAGACATGGCCCGGGATTGGGAGAGCTGCAGGGCACATCTGAGAGAGGCCTTTCGACGACCAGACCCCCTTCAACCCAGAGTCGAGAGGCGTCGAAGGAGTCAGAGGCAGAGGGATCCTGAGCCCAGGGAGGCGAGACCATCTCGAGGAGGACGGAAGGCCCTAGCTAGGAGAGAAGAGGAACCAGAGCCGGCGCCAGAGGCTGAGGAACGAGGGGCATACCCTGAGTGTGGGTTGGGACTAGTGGAGTTTCATCGGTTTACTGAGGGTGGATTGAGGAGGTCGGCAGCACGCACATAGGAGGAGTCGCCAGCATCTGAGGGGCCCTTGAGGGAGTTGGAGACACATTTGGATAACTCTCGGTGGAGGGCGTCGCCTCGGGGTGAGGAGCATGGAGAGCAGGCAGAGGAGGTAGCACGAGAAGAAGTACCACAGGAGGAAGTACCACAGGAGGAAGTACCACGAGAGGAGGTACGAGAGGAGGTGCCACAAGCGGAGGTGCCAGGGGAGGGGGGCCCAGGATACTCAGCGAGAGAGAGGGCTGGGCGATGAGGGAAGACGTGCAGGGAAGGAAGTAATAGAGGTTGGAGAGGACACGCCCCCACAGACGCCAGCGGTGGGTTTTAAACTCGGGGATGCACCAGGGAGCACTCGCCAGGCGGGGAAGAGGTTGCAGACAGAGGAGGCCCCATTGCCTTCTTCAGGAAAGGCCCCTTCGCCAGAAGGAGATAGAGCAGAAAGGAGGAGAGAGAGGGCAGTTGTAAGGAGAGAGGCCTTGATTCTGATCGATAGGCACCTAGCAGCTCATGCCCTGGAGCACCCAGACCTGGAGGAGCCAGTACCTGCAGAGCCGCGCCAGGAGCCATGCCAACCAGAGAAGGAGATGGAAGCAGAGATCCCAAAGAAGGTCGAACTCCTCACGAGGAAAAGGGCGCCAGCTGGAGAAACAGTTGAAGAAAAGAGGGCGAGAAGAATCAGGCGGATAGATGAGATATGGCAAGAAAGGCAGAGGTTGGAGGCAGCGGGGGAGCTTCCGGAGCAGCAACAGGAGAGGCAGAGATCGGAGGCAGCAGGAGCACTCCCAAGTCAGCCACCTAGCGCGCCAGCAAGGGCTCCGGAGATTCCAGAGATGTGGAGGGACTTCTGGGAGCAAAGAGGAGAGAAGCTTCCCTCGCCTGTCAGAGCCGGGTTTGGGGTGGCCAGGAAGGCGGAAGAAAGGCTAGATCGCAAAATCAAGTTCCTGGCCAATACGACTTTTGACCGGCACTTGTTATTGGAGAGCGATCTGGCAGGGAAGAAGATGAAGGAAGCAAGCCATGGAGTACGCCTGGAGGCTATGGAGGTGGAAATCCAGGAACTCAGGGCATTGGTGGTCAGTCAGGCAGCTATCATTGAGAGCCTGAGGCAGCAAACCCAGGGAGAGGTGAATAACCCAGAGAGCAATAGACAGGGAGAGAAGAGGCAGCCAGGACATGGGTTGCCAAGACAGCCATCTGCTGCAGAGCCTCGCCAGGAGCCACCTATGGGAAGAGTTATCCTAGAGCCAGAGGAGGCGAGAGCCCAGAGACAGGCGGGGAGAGAGGCGTTTGAGTTCAAAGCCCCTACCGAGCTCTCGACGCTGCGAGTAGCAGCAGCGGGCCCAATCGTACCTTTGGCAGTTGAGGAGGGGCTACCACCATCTAGCAGTGAGCCGGCTCAGGGCTCAGCAGAGGGATCCATAGGCATGCTCCTTGAGGCGGTGCATACTATGCAGGAGGAAATGAGTTTGTTTTCAACCGAGCAGAGGATAGAGGAGCCTCTTGAGAGAGAGATGGGGAATAAGGCAGAGGGTACCATCAAGAGCAGGCTCCAAAGGATGGGCACACATGAGTATGGACCAGAGAAGATTGAGGAGCAGCCCACGGCAGTGCCAAGAGAGACACTCGAGAGGAGACCTCAGAGGTTGGACACGCCAGAGTACGTCCCAGCGACAAGGGATTTGAGGAGCAGACTGGGATCTTGGGCTACTGGATCTGGGTCTGGGGGACAGGTTCATGGGATAGAGCAACAGGAGTTCGTTAGTACCGCAGCTCCTCGCTCAGAGCAGCAGGGGGTTGTCAGTACCTTGGTAGGATCTCCTTCATCGCCACCTCCTCAGCCCAGGAAGAAGAAGTTCAAGGGGAAGGTTGATTAGCTATGCTTCTACTGCAAAAGGGGCATGCATTTGGCTTTGGACTGTCTCGAGTTCCTTGAGGATAAGGCAGAAGAGAAGGTCTCGGAAGCAGGGGGTAAGATGTATGATAGACAGGGTAGGATAGCAGAGAAGTTCGCAGATAGACTTAGGGCTTAGTTATATAGGCAAAATCAGGAGGAGTTGAGGAGGTAAGGCTGGTTTTGTCTATGTAAGTAGGCGAGTACCTTAAGAGGCATCAACTTAGGTTCTGTGTGATACCCTCTTAGACTTAGAGGAGCTTTTTTTTTTTATGAGTGCTACTAATCTAGATTGGAGCCTTTGTATTCCTACTGAGTTGGGGTCTTGAGGCTTAGGGTGATCTAGATGAGGCATGTACATATTTAGGTGGCCTACACACTGCATTTGAGAGACGGATCAGACATGTATTCTAGGGGTTGTTGTCAGTATGGATTTGGTGTGGCTTGAGTTGAGTGAGCTATGATTTGGAGACACTTTCTGGGTGAGACATTTTATTCCCTGGGTGTATAGTATGATGAGGTTTTATTTCAGAGACCATTCTTATATGTGACGATCACCTGTCTCTCTCACATGTGTGGTTATACTCTGATGTATGGTGGGTTTGTGTGGACAGTGTGTAAAAAGCATCTTATTTTGTCATGGGTACTGTGAATATGATTGTAAGCAAAACTGTCTACTCCTCGGTATACTTGTGCGACCTGCTCACGGGCAGTTGATAGGGCAGAGTATAAGGGGAGGAAGCGCAACCCATTTGTGAAAGGTTGTGAGGAATTTGAAGGTTTATGAGCCTTGGAGGCTCAAAATGCTTACCATGTTGATTGTTGGTTACTTAAGTTGTGATGAGGACCCATAAGATGGTCTCTCAGCGATCTTGTTTATGATAAGAGTCCTTTGAATTTTTGGAAAAAGGGATGTTTTATGATGTTGTGTGTTATGATGAGACCCCCTCGAGTTTTGAGGAGGGGAAGTTTGGTTTTATGGCGAGACCCCTTTATGATTTCTAGAAGAGGGGGTGTTTTGTTTATGATGAGAGCCCCTTGGATTTTTTGGAAAAGGGGAATGATTTATGGTTGGAAGACTCACCCTCAGAAGTGAGTAAATTGATTTATGGTATGACGAGTTGTTTGATGGGTGATAAAGTCTGACGGAAAGGGTCACTTTTGTTTGGGATGTTTGAGAAAGTCGCAATGAATGCAGGGCGAGAGACGTCTCAAGACGGGTGGCTGCTGGCTCAGATCAAGTCAGGGGTCACGGCCTGGTGGACCTAGCGGTGATTTTGTTTGTGAGCGTGCGAAGGATGCCATGCCTATTATGGAAGGGTTGGTAAATGTCTTCGGACCCCTGCGTATTGCGCAGTGAGCCTGTGATTTTTGTTTTGCGACGCCCCGCCTAACCACCTGTGCTAGTTCTGGGACATATTGAAGAAAGGTCAAGCTAACGGAAAAAAAGTTAGTACCTCTAGGGCGTAACCCCATTGGATGGCTGCTAGCCGGCGCAACCTGGCTGCGGGACCGCGTGGGTAAGAATTTAAAGGGGGGAAGTGCCCGCCCCAGTGAAATTACTCCACGGGATAGTGATGGTTGAATATTTTTGGGTGAAATCCTGATTGAGTGTTCATCAGGAGGACGCCTATCGTTGCGTAACCAACGAAGGTACTGCCGTTAAATAACAATGCGGTGGGTCGTGGTCCTGGTCCGACCAGCCAGGCTATGGTGGGCTAAGGTGGAGACCTAGCCTTTCTGTACTAGACTACACAAAGAGCTGAGCGAATTTTAAGTATACATATATACTTACGTGTATTTGATTGCGAGAAATTTTTGAGAAGGAAGGCGAGAATGCCTTCAAAAGGTCTCGATTAAGGCCCGCATCCCTAGTTTTTGCCAGGACTGGGGACACCCAACGAGAAGCCGAAGGTTGTCTAGGACCAGGGAGAAGATAATTGGGAAGGTCTTTGGAACTTATGCGGTCAGAGTCCTAATTTCTGGGCGGTGAGAGGCCCAGGTTAGAAACCTGGCAGCATATAGTTGTGGAGGCATGGTTTGATGGAGGTCTCTACCCTGTATTTGTCGGCTAATCGAATTGGCTCCTGTTTCATCATCATTTGGGGTGTGGATGGATTTATAGCTTTCTGATTTGGCGAAGCGACGGGGACGTCGCTTAATATGGTCTGGTAAGCATCGGTGTGAATACCCTTACGAGGGTATCCGCCCTGGCTCTCGCAAGTGACAGAACATAGTTTTGGTGTAGAGTTTAAGTATACCGCGCTAAGCACGGCTGCGTCTGTAATTGCGTGACAGGGTGGTTAACCACAATAGCGAGTGTGTGGGCGCGCAAGCGTAAGGCGCGCGTGATTTTTTTTTTTTTTTTTTTTTTTATATTGATCGTAATGCCTTCCTGGACCTCGGTCGTTCTGCTTGGTATTACTATTATTATTTATTTTTGAGTAAGTAGAAACTAGGGATATTTCCCTTTTGATTGGTGCGTTGGCCGAGGCGAGTACGCGTGCGAGGACGACGGCGACCGTGTGACTGTGGCAGGTCTCTGCACGCGGAGGAGCGCGAGTGGCGGCTGTGGTACAACTTTGGTAAGTCGGCGCAGACGCTGGGCGGTCGCGCGCACGGTTGTAGGCGGAGATGAGACTCAGGCCAATTTCCCTGGTCCTGAGCGCCGCGCCTCACCGCCTTATATGGCATTCGGCGTGTTTTGGTCTCAGGATTGGGCTTAGCCCTATAGGTTACGGCATCAGACTATTGTTACGGAGGTTATGGGGTCGAGGTCAGCGGGCGTCGGCGTAACAACTGCAGCGGAGCGTGCGGAGAAAACCGAGAGGTTGAGGGACGACGGGTTATCCCCCTCTGGTTTTTGTTGACAGCTGTAGCGGCGGGGCCGATCCACGGGACCAATGGGGCTTTAGCGGTCCCCGCACCGTGCATAGGGGCCCTTATTTATGATATTTTATGTCTTTTATTTTTGTTTTTTTCTTATTCATCTATTTTATGTTCATTTATTTTTTCCATTATTGTTATGCGCGGCCCCGCTTTGGCCCGGAGCGTGGTGCCATAGGTGTAGCAGGCACCCAAGAGCTTAGCTTAGTAGGTACACCCGTGGACTGTTGAAGTACAGGCCAGACGCCCCCACGGTCCAGCCTGTGTTTTTCGAAACATTCGTTAAAATTATAACGATGCGGAGAATATTAGTCTGACCCCAGCACGGCGTTGACACGCATTTACCTCATAAAAGGGACCGGGTTCGTGCTTTTAAGCACAGCGGTCGGCGCCCGCGCAAATTCTGAAATTGCCACTAGAGGGCTGGTCGGCGCCAGGCCTTCGGGGTATCTGCTGAGATTAGGCCGACACAGAGAAGGCTAGTCCGACCGGTCAAAGTCTTTTCGGACATCCAATGAAGTTGGAACGATACAGAGAAGCGTGGCATCGGCGTCTGCGCAAGGGTGGCACACTGAAGTTTCGGAAAAGCCTCGAAGGCGCTGTTTTCTGTTGATTACTGCTTTCGGACACGGTAGGGGCCGGCGCTACGAAGAACTGCGCTGTTTTAGCGCTACGAAGAGTGTAGATAGTTGGCCGCGGGCTGTTGTATGCAGAAGTTGCGCTAATATCGGGAGGAGCTACCGACTAAGGGAGAAGAGGGGCTTAGTTGACATCGTATGAATGTGGATGGGAGAGTGCACTAGGTGCATGCGGGGGCTAAGTGGGGCTATGGTGGAAGATAGACAGCAGTGAACATGAAGCAGCCGTTCCGTGATGGAAGTGGGCCGGGAAAAGGGTTGTACGGGGGCTTTGAAAGGGGAAGGGCGACGAAAAGAACCTGGACGCGTTTTGCGTCCGGGTGCATTCGACGGGCGTGATGCCGAAGGAGGGGTTATGGCGGACGGAAAAGGGCATAGCATGCTCGATTCTTGATAGATTCGAGCAGGGCCAGAGCTCGGATCGGGGTTTTAGCCCCAGGCGAGCGTGAATATGGCGTCGGATTTGGTGGGGAATTAGTGATGTTAGAGGTTAGTGGAAGACAGTGTGCGCGGAGAGATGGCGGGAAAGGAAACAGTGGGGATAAAAGTCGTGAAAACGCGCTCGTTCTTGAAGGGAAACGAGTGAGTAAGGACTCGTTTCGGAGGTTTCGGGTAGCTGCGACCCCGAATATAAGGTCAATTTATAAAGATAGTTATTAGGATTAGAGATTGAGGAGAGGTAGGCTGCGGGGAGACTGTCGGGAAGGGCACTGTGAAAAAGAAAGTGAATTTGGTCGGGCTTGGGCGACAGATGCATGTGCAGAAAATAGGGGGTGGCAGTGAACGGCTGGCAGCGCCAAGGGAGACAAGACGGAGTGACAAAAGGGGTGAGTAGCTGTGGATGGGGTGTCGTGCGGGTACGTGCGGAGTGAAGGGAAGAAAATCCTACCTAGTCGGCCGCCGTTGAGCCAAAGGCTGGATGAACCCGGGCGCGTCCCTGCGCCAGATTCATTCGAAGGAATAAATTACAGATAAGTAATGAAATAGACGGGCAGGTGGTGAGCAGATGGGCGAGGTAACAACAAGGAAGGGCCCGGAGCTAGATGTGAGATCTGACGACTTACCTGCTGGCGGGTACTTTGCCCATCTAGGAAGAATCGGCGGTGCATGGTCGTTCCTTGTTAGTGGAGTGATTTGTCGATTGAGAAGCTCTTTCTTGATTCTATGGGTAGTGGTACTGTGGATGTCGTAGTGTTCCGCGGTGCTTGCTGCTGACTAGGGAAGGGGCATAAAAGGTTGATGTGCACTACGGGATACTACTGCCGCCCACATACACTTCGGCTGTGTCAGTGGACTGGGCACGAGAGCGGCTGTTTGATATGGGTTGAGCACAGATTGTTACTACGGGCGGCTGCTGACTAGGTGGAATTGCTGTTGTGACTCTGGACTGCGGATCTGTGGACTGCGGAGTACCACTGCTGCTGGACAGTTGCCAGGTATCACGACATTGTTGATAAGCACTGCTCACCTCTGGGCTGGCGGAGATCAAGTTGGCAGTAAATCATTGTACTCGACATCTGT